TCCGTGTGTGCATTCCTGAGTGGCTTCCTCTGTACTACTTAGGCTCCCAGAGGGAAGGAGTTTGTCTTAGACTTTTTCTGCATCACCTTTTTTTTTCTGGGGGTGGGGGCGGTGTTGAGCCATGGTTTCTCTGTGTATGTAGCCCTGGCTGTCTTGGAACTTGCTTTGTAGATCTGGCTGGCCTCAAACTCAGAGATCCTTCTGAGTGGATCATCCTGAGTGCTGGGATTAAAGGTGTGCACCACTGTTGCTCAGCCTATTTCTGCATCTTTTTTAACTTCCAATCTAACACGATGCCTCCCATTCTTAAATGGGAAAAGGACTTGATTCTTAGTTGTTTAGGCCAAATTATGCAGCTTATTTCCAATATATACTTCCTGTCCAATAGCAGACAATATTGGAGCCCTTTCTCTGCCTAAGTGAGCAGAACAAGAGATTAGAGTAACAAAGGTATGTGTGTTTGTACGTTCACATATGGCTGCTCTTCTCTATCACTCTCCATCTTTACTTTATGAGACAGGCTCTGCCTCTGAACCTGGAGCTCACTGATTTAACCAGACTGGCTGGCCAGCAAGCTCCATGGATCCCCCTGCATCCACCTCCCTAATGCTGGGATTACAGGCACACACCACTACACACTGATTTTTACCTGGGCACTGAGGATCCAGACTCCGGGCCTCAGGCTTGTGTGGCAAGCCCTTCATCCACTGGCCGCCTCCTCTGCAGCTTCTTTGCATGTATTACATTCCTGTTTCTGGTCAGCCTATCCTTCGTTCCTTTTGAATTTCTTGTAATGGGGCTAGGCTGACAGCAGTGGAGTCTCTGGAAAGAAATGTCTATGTAGCTATCAGGAAAGGAACACAATGGTGGGTTTCATGCTGAATCACACCAGCCATTAGTTACACTTGGCTGACTTGGGGTTCCCAGGATGCAGCCCCTCTAGCTCCCAGTGATGTTGGCATTCTCCTCAGAACAAAACTCCTGCCTCCCGAGTACCAATTTCACATCTATGCAGGTCACTGGACTTCCAGCAACAGGCCGAAAGGATTCTTTTAAGCCCAGTGTTGGGCTCACTTTGGGTAACGATGTCGTTAGTAACTCCTTGGGGATTGATTTACTGTGCACTATAGTTCTTATCAAAAGTAAGCTTGGGATGAAGCTGGTGCTGGATGTGGTCAGTGCATCTAAGCGAGGCTCACTGGAGGTGGAGGGGCTTTATTATTCTGTTGTAGGCACTGGGAAATTTAATGGTTCACCTAAGAATCTAAACAAGAGTTCCATGGGGAAAGTAGCATTCTAAATCAATACTGAGTTGAAAATAAATTAGAAGCCATCGTCATGGGCTGCTCTTTTGCCAAACAAACAAACAAACAAACAAACAAACAGCTTTCGTCTGGATCCAGTGGATTCCACATCCATCTCACCTTACAGCTCCCATAGAACAAATGAGGGCTGAACTGCTCCCATGGATACCCACTGCTGGGCCTACTGTGTCCTAGTTTGTTTTCCTGTTGCTATGACAAACCTTGACCAAAAGCTGGGTCCTCTCAGGCTTACTTCAGCTTACCCTTTTAAGTCACAATCCATGACTGAGGGAAGCCAAAGCAGGACCTCAAGACTGAAACCTGTAGGTAGAAATAGAAACAGAGACCAAGGAGCTTCGGGCTCACCTTTAACCTCTTCCGCTGTCCAGACCCACCTGCAACACCCACAGTGGGCTGGGTTGTCCTACCATCAAGAAAAGGACCCCAACAGACATGCCCACAGGCCAATCTAATGGAGGTAATTCTTTAGAGGCTCCTGTTTTTCACGTGTGTCACCTTGACAACAAAGTTTAGCTAACATAAGCAGTGTTAGAAGACCGAGCAGCTGGTCCACAACAGAAACCAGAGACCCAGAATCATGTTTTCAAAGGTCAGTACTTTGCTTAAAAGTGAAGTCTGAATGTATGTCATAGAATTAATCACTCCCTGTGTTTTCATTCTGGGTCACTTGTCTCACCAACAAATGAATTTTTATCTTTTGTGGGGCACTATAGCCATACAAAAGGTGGTAGCCAGGAATAAATCTCAGCTGTCATTCCTTAGTCACTATCCACTTTAATTTTTTTTTTATATATATATAGAATTGTTCACTGTGTCCAGCTTTTTAATTTTTTTATATGTAGGTGTTTTGTCTGCATGTATGTCTGCACCACTTGTGTACATGGTACCCACCGAGCCCAAAAGGATCTCATGGAACTGGAGTTATAGATGGTTGTGAGCTGTCATGTGGGTGCTGGGAATCAAACAGGAGTCCCCTGAAAGGAGAGAAACATCTCTCCATCTACTCCCTGCCCACTCCTTAATGTGGGTTCTGGGGATGGCCCTCAAGCACTGTACTGACTATCTCCTCATCGGGGGACTTCTATTTAAATAGAGTTGCCTTTACATTTCCATAAGGGCTCAATACAGGTGCAGGGCTGAGGAACAGACAAGGGACTGAGTGTGGCATTGTATACTCATTATGTCATTGTGTCCTTAGCCCGGGGAAGTTCACAGCACATAAAGAGGAAACCACTTCCTTAAAGGATAAAGACATGTAATGGTCACATTAACCAGACCTCACAGTGATGTAAGGAGCAGGAGCAGCCAGGTCCTCTGTTGAGCCGAAGTGAACTGGCCAAGTGGCCTTGAACTGGTACCAAGCCTCAGAGGAGGCAGATCCCAGTCTCGGCATCGGTGTACAGGGGACCAGCCTTGGCAGGCTCTGATAAGGCCCTGACTCAACTCTTTGTTCTCCCAGGCTTGGCAGCAGATGGAAAGTGAACTCTCATAGGCAGCAAGAACCAGCCTTATCCTTTGGGTCAGTGCCCATCTGTCAGACACTTGACAAAGTTGTGTTCATACTAGGAAATGCTCAATATAGCCCCATTCATTGTGCGACACACAAAATTTATGCCATCTCTTGAAGGAATGCAGCTCTGAAAACCCTCAGTGTCAGAAGCATATGTGACAGAAGGGGGCACTTCTTGTATTGCCTGGTATCTCAGATTACTTTCCAAATCCATCCATACCTCTGGAAAGGATGGCTCCCCAAATCTACTAGTGTTTTTGTTTTGGTTGGAGAATTCATATTTTTTCCTTTATGTACATCTGCCTGTAGAAAAGTACATCTATATATAGTGTTGACAAGCTGAAACAACTGTTAACACACTCAAATATTTGTTCAAGTAAAAAATACTTTCATGGAGAAAAGCGAAACAGAACCAGGCTCCAGAATTCACAACAGGCAGATTTTTTTTTTTTTTTCTAACAGTCCCCCGGAACAGACAGTAGAGGAATTGTTCTATTTACTACCAGCTTTAAGTTCAGAATGGACCTAGTCCCCCCCCCCCCCCCGCCCCCCACAAAGACACTGGAGCTCTCACATGAGTTTGTCTTGGAGATGCTTAGATTCTTACCTACAGCCTTCCTCTTAGGAGTTTACAGTTAACTCTGAACTACTGTAGCCTTCCACTTGCAGTCTCAGCAGTGGAATTCACAGCATGGATCTTGAATCCTCTTTACACTTCACGTGTTCCAGCCTGGCTTTGCTATGTCAGAGTCCTAATCTCTTTACTTGGAGGGTGGGGGGCTGCCCAGTGGCTATCACACTGGCTCAGACCCAAGGCATGTGCCGTGGTAAGACATGGCTGTTCTTTTGTGTTATCCTGAAAGATGTGGAACTCAGTAGAGTTGGCATGTTTCATAGAGAATTGATCTCAGCGACCCAGGAAAGGTCTGATGTTAAATCACACCCTGCTGCTAATGGGTAGGCCACACCTACATTTTCTAGGGTTCTTCTCCTACATGTATCTATTGCTGCAACTTCCCCCAATTTTCTGTTGCTGTGACATGCTTGTAACAGCATAAGAATTCAAATTGAACCTTGGTGTCTCCAGGCCAAAGTCTGAGGTCTTGGCTATCAGTTGTGAGCTGTGGAGCTTTGCATACCTGGCTTGCTCTTCCCCTATGCTATCCAAGGACACTAACAGTTACTCTTATGCAGGGCCAAGTGAGGAAGATTCTCTCAGTTTCACAAAGGTGGTCTTAAATACCCTGGTAGTGGTCTTTTGAACATGTGACAGACTGAGGACAGCAGCACCTTGTGCTCACTTCATCTGTGTGTGTGATAACCTTAGGCTGAGATCCTTCATACCAACTCCTGTGTTTGGGGACTTCCATGACTATACCAGAGCAGCAGGAGCTGGTGACAGCGGAACAGGGGAAGGCTGAGAGGCATAGCACTTACTTACTTAGGGTAAGAGAACAGCTTTCTATATGGATAGGATAGCCAGGTCTCCAGGCTCCTGTTTAGGTTCTTGGCCATACAACCAGAACAGTTAATGCTTGTGAACCAAAACAGTATTTGTGCATGAAGTGAGTTTTGGCTTTACATTCTACATTCGCTTTGGTAAGAACCACCTCTAGCCCCTTTAAATCTTGATGTAGTACAACCAAAGCCAACTGATACTGTTTATGACCTGTTTCTGTTTGTTTAGTGTCTTCAAGAGCTAGGGTACAATATTTTCAGTTTCCAATTCTGAGAAAATGAAGATGTATTGAAGTGGAGAATTCATGTGAATTTGAAAACAGAAAATCACAAAGCTCCACAAAGCTAAGCAGAGCCAAAGATTTGGTACTTCACTCCACCACTGGCTGAACTGAAATGTGGACGCATCACTGTTTAAGACTTAGCTACCATTTGAGGGGAAAAATCCATAGCAGTAAGCTCTCCGTAAAAGGTCTCTTAGTCCACAGAGCTATGCCAGGAATATGGAAAACGACTTTTGGAAAGGGCTTTTTTCTGACCACTGCCAGCCACTTCAACATACTTATATTGCTGAGAGGGTAACCAGGGGATCTAACTTGGAACATCACTGCAAGCAACCAGGCAGGTCAATCACAGCCTAAAATTCACAAAGTTAAAAAAACAAAACAAAAACAAAAACACAACAACAAAATGACAGGACCACCAGATTTAGAAAATGTCCTACAATGTGCATTTTATTCCATATCATTATACAATGTTTACATATAGTTATAATTCTTAAGAAAATGCCTTTACCAATTATGTATGTAGTGCCTAGATCTTTTACCCTGACATGGAGAACTGGAAAGAGGGGCAATCCACATTGAATGCTCTCCCTGCTGAGATGGAAGGGGCTGCAAGTGTCAGTTGGGAAGGAACAGGACTCTTAAAAGACCAGTGTGGCTTCCAGACCCTTGACTTTAATGAACACAGGCGTAAGAAACCCATAGTCTTGTCTGGAAGTAAAACTCAAAACAAAATAAATTAGTGTTGGAGAGAAATCTAATTGTATAACATTGAACAAAAGACCCCCAGGGTTCCTTTGTTTAAAGTAGCACCAACTTGCACCTGCACCTGGTTGTCTCCAACATCAGTCTTCTTGGTGACTCCACCTTGGCACTCTGGCTGGAAATCTTTCTGTTTTTGTGAGGCTTCCTACCCTGGCTAAGCAGACTGCATGCCTAAATGCTATGAAGTGTGGCAATGTCAACCTGGGAAATGGCACGTTTAAGTAAGTACCCCAACTTGGGCTTGCCTTTCTGTATCTTTCCCCACTCCCTGCCCTAGCTGGTTCTTTGCAGATGTTTCGGTGACAGTGGTTAAAAGTATATAAAAATGCATCGAAGGAGTTTCTGGGAAGCAGGTGTTTAAAAACAAAATAAAACAACGAGAGGGAAATGAAAGAATGTGGCCGCAGCTAAGGAGGTTTTCACATGTTGTTTAGCTCCAGTAAGGTCTGGTCCAGCATCTGGTGCATACTAAGGTTTTCTTCTTTGGCATGAGCCACTTTCTCTGTGATGGGATTAGAAAATTAAGTCATGAATAGCTGCGCATCAGACTCGGTAGTGGTTTGTCCATTTAGTAAGCAAACATCAATCACACACACAGAAGAGTAGCACTCTACATGCGTAAGACGTCACTCATTTCCAGACAAGGCCCTGGGTGCACCTCCACCATCCATCCACCCTGAAGTGCAAGGTGTGTTTGGTGAAGGCTCACCCATTGCGTGCTGTGGGAACAAGGGAGGGGTAAAAACCAAATACAGCTACAGCACTGTTACACAAACTGCAGTTAATGCCAGGACAGGGTTCTGAGTTACAGACGGTTAAAGATCTGGTAGTTGTATAAGCACACAACCTCACAGAAACAAAGATGACACAAATAGGTTTCTGACCGCTTTTTAAATGGCTTATTTCTACTGCTCACAAAGGGTTATGGACACATCTCATGCACACTTCATTAGGACAGTCTCTTAGTATTTTTATAGTATCCTACTTATTAGCATGACACTCATCAGATTCCAACACCGTTAAACCAAACAAAGCGTACCTTTCAACCAGGGACTTCTGATGAGCTCCTGTTTTCAAAAGCTATTTTGCCCAAGCATAGGTACATTGAATCACATTTCAAACACTATACATGTTATGAAGATGTTAGGAATACAAATTTGTAATAGATATTTAAAGCAGGATGCAGTTGTTTAGAGGAAACAGAAAAAAAAGCTTTTTGGGGGGGAGGGGGGCTCATTATCAGTCAGTTCAAAGAGGACCTGTTGATGCAGGAAGGGCTGAATTGACTGGTATAAATATTTTAACATATACATATCATAAAAACTTTTGGGGCTAATGAGGATTTACTGATATATACAAAAGAAAAATGGCAAGGCTGGCCTTCCAACCAATGCCTTTCCTTCCCATTTCTGCAGAAAGTGATTGTTTTCAACCCCAAGAATCATAGATTTCCTGAACATGGGTTGCATTCCTAGAACTCGGCCCAAGTTTGTGCACACAAGTTTTTAATCCTCATTCAGGGCCAGCTTTAGTTCGTTAGTTAGTCGGCGGTTTTGCTCGAGTTGATGGTAGAGTTGATCTGGACAGGTCAGCAAGGGTTAGCAGAAAAGAAGAGACAGAAGGAAGAGGTTAGCTCAAGTCAGTGAGAGGCAGTTAACAGACTAGAAAACATGGATACGCAGGACAGCAACGGTGTACCCTGACCCTGAGGCCCTCTGGCAAGTCCTGGCAGGATGAAGAAAGGGCAGGATCTTGATGTAGAACAGAGGTAAAGAGGTGCAGGATGAGGGAAGGAACTCATGTTCCTTTTGCACCTCATTAAAAACACCTTATGGCCTGGGCAGTGGCGGCACACGCCTTTAGTCCCAGCACTCCGGAGGCAGACAGGTGGATCTCTGTGAGTTTGAGGCCAGCCTGGTCTATAACTCTTGAGTTCCCGAACAGGCTCCAAAGCTACAGAGAAACCCTGTTTTGAAAAACACCACTCTGTGAACTGAGCTATGTGCAGTTTGGGGCAACAGATTTGGGGACTAAGGCCATGCTGGAGGCCAGCCCCTGCCACTCATGCCTTGCTAGAGCTCAGCAGAGATTCTAGGTGAGTCCCTGACAGTCCACTTCTGTCCACCCCTCCTGAATCCCATACTCTCTGCTCAGGGTTCAGGGTGGTGCTGAGCTGGTACTACTGTATCTGCCCCATGGACATGTTTTGAAAAAACTCCCCATTCTCCTAGAGACCAGGGGGACAAAGTCTGAACTCTCCTCCAACTTCCACAGTGTGTTACCTACAGCAAACAAGTATTTATCTCTGCTCCACACTGATTCAGAACTTATCTGTATGCATGCTTCAAGAGTATGACATTCATGCTGTGTGCTGCCAGCATGCATAAAATAAATAAAACTAGGCCAGGAGGATGACTCAGCAGCAAAGGTGCTTGCCGCAGAGCCTGATGACAGAGTTTGATCCCCAGGTTCTACACAGTGGAAAGAAAACCGACTCCTAAGACTTCCTATGTACACTGTGGTATGTGGACCTCCCTCCCCCAATAAAACCCTGTCAAACATCCACACTTACCCAGTGTGATAGACGTTTATTTACTACTATGTAACCCATCCAAGTGGCAAAGCAGTCCACCATGGGACTCAGCCTGTGTCTGATGATCCAGGGGACAGGTGGTGACAAAGAAACCAGCACACACTAGGAAAAGTAGGGTGTGTGTTTGCTTGGAATGATGGGGACTCTGTGGACCTGGACATCCTACTTGATGATCTTGGAGAGCTAATAATCCTACTGCCTAGTGATCAGCCTCAGCACTTATTGCTGGGAAACTAGGCAGTTCTGACAACTTTCTTTTGGAAATGGTAGGAGATGGGGGAAGTTGTTATGCACCTTGTTTGTTGCGTACTATGAAGAACTATGTTCAACCCAGGCCTTTCCCTCTTATCTACATTTTCTGAATATTCAAAACTCCAGATGGCTGTCACCTCCTCCAGGCAGCGCCCAGGAGACTTTCCGTTGTTTGTTGGCTCCAAACACAATGTTTACCAGTACAGACTTACCCCATTCCTCTCTTCCCACACCGCCAGCTTAGAACAAAACACCCAGATCAGTCTTTCCTCTACCCTGCTACCTTCCAATGTTTCCCAGATACTTAGAAGTTGCAAAAGAGAAACCCCATTACTACATCATCATGGGAAAATGCCACCATGAGCAGCAGGCAGGACTGTCCCATTTGCTGAGCCCAAATGTTTGGCCATCTAGAACAGAAGAACACTGGAGAAACCCTAGAGAATCCATAGGCTGACTGGGGTGTAAACTGCAGTGTGCTCTACCTCAACCCCCTTTGAGCCTTGTTCTTTCTACCTGCAAGGGAGCTGGTGGGCTGATGACCTGAGAGCAGGGGTCAGACACATTTGTAAGTGCTCTTCCTCCTGCTCTGCACAGACCTCAACTGTCTGGAGGCCTCTGGTCTCAGAGCTGGCAATGCTGTTGGTTTGGTTCAACTGAGGCTCTTGAAAGAGTTGCCAATACAGGGTGACCCTTGTTAAACAGATTCTTGATCAACTCTACTTGCTGTCTGTGCTCCTGATGTGCACACCTTAAGCTACTTGGGATCTGCCTTCATAGTCCATTTGTTCTATCACCCTCACAGTGAACACTCACAGGTGTGAGAAATCTCTGCAAGAGTCAAGAAATATGTATTCCAAGATGCATTAACGTCAGCTCAGAGGAACTTCAAGAGTCTTATTTCCTCTGTGGCAGAAGGCTCAGGGAAAGGGCATTGCTGTTACTCTGAACTTTAAAAAGATCAAGGTTCGAAATCAGTGAGAAGTGGACCCAAGGGACCCTCAGGGAAAGAAAAACAAACAAAAAAGAAAAGCAAGCAAGCAAACAAAAACCCATGAAACAAAACAAAAACACACAAACAAACTCTAAAACCCAGAAACTGCAGAAGCCTTTGCAGTCTTTGGTGGAGAGACACTGCTTGGATCATAAAATTAGAGTTTACCATGTCATTAACTAAAATATCTTAATTCAGACCCTTTGTTTTAAAAAAGAAAATTCTCTCTACTCTGAAGACTTCTGGGTAAATGACTATTTTCAGAGTTTGCCCAAATTTACTTGAGGAGAGTGGTATGCCAGCCCTATTAGGCTAACAGGTACCACACGAGACAGGAGGTTACTCATGCTTAAAATACAGGAACCGAGCCAGGCTTATGTTAAGGCTAAGAAGCCAGAGGTCACATTATTGTTGTTTTGCTTTGTTTTGAGACAGGGTTTCTCTGTATAGCTTTGGAGTCTGGCCTGGAACTCACAGAGATCTACCTGCCTCCTGAGTGCTTGGACTAAAGGCATATGCCACCAACGCCTGGTCTAGAGATCACTGTTCTAAAGTCCTAAATCTGAAATAAAAGTTACTAAACTGCTGTTTGTGACTGAAATCAAACATTTTTTCTTGGGGTGGGTGGGCCATAAATCAACTGCAATGAGGGGGGAAACTCATGTGAACACACCTTCTGCAGAATATATACAGTGTGCTTCCGAACACAAAAATAAACCTAATACAGCTAATATTTAGAAACTCTATAATGTGATGTGTTCAAAATGAAGGTATCTGTGTAATGAATATATTTGAAGAAAAAAAACTTCAACTCACTCTGTGATATAAAAGGTCAATACATAACCATGACTTACAATCCTAGTTTTTCATGATATGCAAACTCCCTAGCTAGAGTATAGGATGGCTACACAGACTCCCAGTACTTAGCCAGGCAGAGCCATCTCCACATCAGCACAGAGAGGGTGCCACACCCCAAACTAAACTTTTGGCAGAGGAAAACATGGCTCATGCCAGAATTTGATTCCCACTATCTACTGTGTGGAGGTTCTGAACCCAAACTGTCACAACCATCACAATTCCTAAAACCATAGATACCTGGGCCTCACTCCAGTGCCTAAAATTCAGGTAATATTTTAAAAAGTTACACAAGGAGCTGCTACTATAGAAACTTCTGATGTCATTATATAGTGTGCAGGAAAAAAATGTGCCCTTTGATGCACGAAGCAGAACTGTAGTTTTATTCAGTGTTGACACAAAAATATCAATAAATAAAGAGTAAAAGAATAGCAAAGAGGAATAGCTTACAGTGTTTATTTTACACTGGGCGAATAGCTCCTGTACAATAGAAAGCACAGTGTGTGCCTGGCCCTAAGGTGGGCGCTAAAAGGAAACCTGGGTCAGCTGGAGAACAGACAGATGCAGAGCTCAGAGAGGTGGGACATCCAGCTTGATGAAGAAGTCTTGGAAGGTATGAAGCAAAGAAATTTATCTGTGTGAAACAAAAGTTAAGAGAAAGAGAAAAAGTGGTGCAACAGAAAAGGAAAAAGGAAAAAAAAAAAGAAAACCACATGGATGACAGCAGTATGTGAAACGCAAGCAAGTGTGTTAAGGCATGTAAAACCCACTGCCAGCTGCACCACAGGGAAGCCAATCCTGGCAACTACTACCTGGACCCACAGCTGCCATGGGCCAACCTTGAGTGAGATCTAGTTCCAGAACTACTAGGGCTGTTACATAGAGATACTCTTATCTGGAAAAAACAAAAAAAGAAAGAAAGAAACAAACAAAAACAAAAACAACCCCCCCCCCAAAAAAAACAAAACAAAAAAACAGAACTTAAACAAAACCAGCCGGGTGTTGGTGGCACACGCCTTTAATCCCAGCACTAGGGAGGCAGAGGCAGGCGGATCTCTGTGAGTTCGAGGTCTCCTGAGCGAGTGCCAGGATAGGCTCCAAAGCTACACAGAGAAACCCTGTCTCTAAAAACCAAACCAAAACAAAAAACAAAACAAAACAAAACAAATCTTAAACTAAACACTCCTTTTGGGACATTTCATTACACTCAAGAGTTTTCCCCATGGAGTATCACATTTTAGGATGGTGGCTACAAATGGCTGCAGATAACTTGGTTCCACTCTTCATTTACTAACGGTGGAGAAAGGCATGCCCTTGTTTCTATGCCAATAGCCAGGCCTCTAAAGGATATTCTGGAACCTCCAAGGCAGCAAGCCCATGTCATGCTCCTGAAGCTACTACATTTCTGAACAGTCACAGAAATACCATTCCCAGCTTTGATGGGACCCAGCAGTATTAGAATGAAGAGTCCTCTGTGAAACATTCCAGGGGTTAGAATCGCAAGTGGTACAAGTGCGGTTAGTAATATGTAAGTTAGCCGAGTATGTCTGAGGGTCCTCAAACAAGGCCAACATGAATAAAAATATGGACCATTAAATTCCAAATTCATATGTGTAAATGTTTTTATTTCTTGCGTCTCTGATGTTGATTGTGGCAAGCATTTACTATGGGGTATTTTATTTCCATTTGATATAATAAACATAGCAAATAAGACTTGGTTCATCAGGAGACCATTCATTTTTGCTCTGGAATGTTTTTTAAAATTTGTTTTATACAGGGTCTCACAATATAGCCCTGACTGGTCTGGAACTTGCTATAGACCAGGCTGGCCTCAAACTCAGAGATAAACCTGCCTCTTCCTCCCACATACTGGGATAAAAGCCATGTACCACCATGCCTGGCTATGCTCTGGAATTCACTACAGGGAGGGAGAGCTCTGTTCTGTACCATACTCATTTCCTTTTCCTCAGATTTTCAATAAACTGATACTTTAAACTTAACAGTGTTAAGTGAAAAAGACCACATTGTACTTCACAGAATCCCAGGAAACAACTTGGTATTTCTTCCTAACTTCCTGCACTACTACATCATGGCTTTCTAGTTTTATTTGAGTCTGGCTTAAGGTTTTAAAGCGATAGTACTCAGGGCCATTCAGAGTCCAGTTCATCTCTTAGCAGAAAGAAGCCAGATCTGCATTTATGGAATAAAAGGAATCTGAAATGGTTTGCAAGGACTGAATACACTTGGCCTTTGTTAGTACAATGTTAAAATGACCGTGGCTATCCTAGGCTATCTATGCAAGAGAGCCAAAAAAAGGTGCAAAAATGGAAACCACAGACTGAGAAGGGAGCCGTGGTGAGTTCATCACACAAGCATGAGGGTGAGGGTGAGGGTGCGAGCAGGCAGGGTGCATGAACATTTACATGGAAGTCATATCGTTGAGAGCGTGGTCCAGCTCCTCGCTGATGGCTTTGTACTTCAGTTTCTGAGCATACAGCTCGTCTATGAGCAGGAAGTGGAAGGCAGAGATGCAAGGACATGGGGAATGATCAAGAGATGGAGGGTGAGCAGGGGTGGCGCGGATGCCATCCCGACACGTCAGCAAGGAAAGGGCAATGCATGAAGGGGTTGGTGCCGCAGCAGATGGCCAGTGCAGGAGGCGTGCGATTTGTTTTTAAAGAAATTGAAACAAAAACAAAGAGAACAAAAACCCATTAGGAAATAAAACAAGAAAGACCCAATATGAAAAACACAACACCAACGGTAGGTAATACCAATGAACCGTTAAATCCTAAAGACACCCACAGAAGGAGGTTCCTCCTGGTAGGTAATGGAACATCTTTCTTTTCACAGAGCTGTCTATTTACACTGGAGTAGTCAGCCACCTGCAGCTGTAAGCTACAGGGGAAATATCCAAAGGCAGCAAGTTCAATTTCCCAAGACAGTCTTCAAACCACTCGCTTCTTGCCCAAGCCAGACCATGGGATATTGAGTTTTTTGGTGGCACTTAATTTTTTTTCATGGCTTTCTCTCTTAAGCTGCCTGTTGCTAGTACCAGAAGTTTGAAAGCAAAGGCAGTCACAGTTTGGGGCTTCTCCACAGTTTAATCTTTGTAATGGTGGTGAGTTTGCCATACACCAGCAGGCTCATACCCATACCCGTTCTCTCTTCTTCTTCTTTTTTTTTTTTTTTGTTGTTAGCTGTTTGTTTTCCTATTTCTTTTTCAGAGAGGATCTGCTAGCTGGCTTGGGATTTGCTATATAACCCAGAGTGGCCTCAAACTCACAGAGCTCCACTTGCCTTTTGCCTCCTGAGTGTTGGGGATCAAAGGTGAGTCTTCCCATGCCTGGCTGCTATCTTGGTAATTAACTGCACCACCCTTCAGCCCCCCTTCAACCCGTTCTGCCTGTGATGTATGGTGCTCTTTTGTTTGTTGTTGTTGTTTTGAAAAATGCTGAAGTGTGATCCTGAGACTCAGTGCCCTATTGACTCCTACCCTCTGTCCTGTTAGGATATAGAATGCTAACGAATGGCTTAAAAAAAAAAAAAAGAAAAAAGAAAACAAAACCAAGCCCTTCTGGGCACACACTTGGAAGATGGGTGTGTTTAAAACAAATCCACATTGTTCTGACAATTAGGAAATATCACCAGAGACACAAATATACCAGAGTCACATTCATCTATAATTACTTCACTCAGTGAAAAACAGTCCAGACCCACTTCTGAAGTCCAAGAAATTAGACATAAACAGTCTGGTGGCTGACTAGTCACCCCAAGAGCTGAGGACTTGGGTTTGAGAGCTTCGGTGTCACAGATGAGAGCCAGACAGGAAGTGTGAGAACAAAAAGGAGCATCAGGGAGGAAGCCCTCGGATTGGATGACTGACTGCTTTATCAAGACGGTTATTCAACAAGAACTGAATTTAAAATGTTAAAGACCTTACCTTCTAAGTCATCGATGCTTTTCTCCAATTTAGTTACTGATCTCTCTGCAAACTCAGCCCGAGTCTCAGCCTGTAATGATTTAATTCATTTGAGTCAAGGTTAGGGAGATTCCATCCAGTAGCTACAGATACAAGGAAAACCAGAGGACAGAACTCAAGTGTGTATCACCCGGGAAACGTCAGGTTCAGCCCCTTCCGTGAGCGACAGCAGCTAGTTAACAGTTTTACATGAACTACAAGAAAACCTCTGAACATGCCTGCCTCGGACCACAGAATCCAAAGGACTTGACCCATCCACAGAACCTTAATTGCAATCCAGCCAGTTTTCTCCAGGCCCTCACAACATTACCTCCTTCAGCTTGTCAGAAAGAACCTTGATCTCCTCCTCATATTTGTCTTCCTTCTGCGAGTACTGTAATTAGAAAGAGCGTTCCAGATGTCAGGCTGCGGCTCTCACACTCGCACCTTCTCACACAAGGAACGTGCCAGCCCAACCAACAGATGTTGGGGATCTCCTAGCAGGTAACAGAACCTCGGGTATCATATGGCACACTACAATACATTCTCTGCTTTCTTGCCTATTGCTTTACATGGGATAAGAGTGAGATAACTTATCCACTTGGCACTTTGTTTAAATTAAATTGATGATTTACCCAACATAAGATACATTCTCCACTAATCTTGTCTTAAGAACAACACAACAAAAACATCCTACTATCCAATAACCATTAGGAAATCGTCTCAAAATGTTGCCACTTGCTAAAATGCCTCCTGTGCCTTTACTTTCACCAGCAGGGCCTCTTTTGAGCAGCACTTATGATGGTGTCTTTCCCACTCCCTGCTCCTGGCCTACCTTCTCAGCCTGAGCCTCCAGTGACTTCAAGTTGTTCGTCACCGTTTTCAATTCTTCTTCAAGCTCGGCACATTTGCTAATGTTTTCGATCAGAAGCAGAAAGGGTGGGAGACAAGCCCAAGGAGCGAGGAGAGAAAAAAGGAGAGGGATGGGAAAAAATGAAAACTGAGTCCTAGAGATGGGGGGCTGCCTTAAGTAGCCAAACCACGAGGCACGAAGCTCGGTTTTGCCATGGGCTCTGCCTTCCTTTGCAACAGTGGAAGGGCAGAGAGACAAAATCCAGCAACTCCAAGGCGTGATAATTTGGCTTCTTATTGGCCACCCCTCAGAGTATTTATGAAGGGAAAAACAAAGAGCATAAAGGACCAAGAGAAAGCACTTGAAGCAAGATATAAATAGCAGAGGGTGTAGTGAAGGTACAGTCATTACACCAAACCAACCAGTAGGCATTGGAAGCTCAAAGCTGTCTGGGATGCAGTTAAACCTAAAAACCACACGTGAGCCATCAGTACCTTATCCTCTGCAGCCATTAATGCTTTCAAGGTCTGATCCATTATTCTTAATTGTTCTTCCAGCTGTCGGACTTGGCTGTTAGTGGACACAGGAAATGCACAAGGCCATTCACAAAATCAGTGCAGGTAAGGCATGCAGTGCCACACGCATTCACAGACACCCCACATGGTTCCTCCATGTTCCAAACTCATGGCTCATCCACATCACATTGAGCACACAAGGAGCCTGGAGCCAAGGTGGGTAGGTAAATGTGCAGCTGCCAGAAGGTCATGCTGTTTTTAGTCGTTGCGCTGCAGAATCCCCACAGGTGGTGGCAATGGGCCCGCTTACCCTTCTGAGAGCTCAGCCCGCTCCTCTGCACGTTCCAGGTCACTTTCAATGATGACCAGCTTACGGGCCACCTGCAGCAGGGCAAACACAGCAGACACACTGTGGTCTTGCATACTTTGTGTAGGGGGTAGTTATAGGGCAGAGATTCCATCCATTGGCCCTAGGGATTCTTGTCTACAAATGGGATGCTCCTCCTTCTGCAGACTAGAGACAGCCAACTCTCCCTCAGCAGAGACCAGGGCCCTGCTAAGAGGCCGGAATGGTTAGCTCTTCCCAAGTGGAGTCTAGATAATTACACAGCGCCCAGAGCAATTCTCGGAATGAGAGAAATATGAAATCTGCAATCTTAAAAATAGCAGGATGATGAGACATGAGGAGGCATTTTAGACTGAAAAGGCAGGGGCTGCTGAGAGTACCAAAAATAAACCCACGGACTATACCACACAGGGATCTGTTCAGCAGACAAGAGCCAGTGAGATGACTGCCAGGTCAAATCTGCAGCCAGAAATGCCACCCCAGAGAAAAAGTTCCTCCGAGGCAGCTCAAAACCATGGAACAGTTTCAGACAGCCATGATGAAATACAGAAAGAAAAACTGAAACCTACAGCCACTCGGGTTGTCATCATCACGTGCCATTGCATAGGAACAATCACCAGGACCTACTTCACTGCAGACAGAGCCTGTGCTAACAAAGGATTTCTACCACCCCAGAGAAGCCTCTAGGAATCTCCCAAGGAGCTCTGTGGTCCATGTTCTCTACAGCATCTGAACTGAAACATCTGTGCCATGACAACATGCCAGCTTCTTTCCCTAAGGCCCGGCTCTCCCTCTTCCTGGCTAAAGATGTTTCTGTCTGAACCTTTAGGGTGTGGGGAAGTATTGATCTCTCCACCCAGGGCACATGACTGGCTGGCTTTATCACAGTAAGAACCAGTTTCTTCTGTCTCTCAGAACCACCCACTTCTATCAGGAGAGCTGTTACACCCAAGGACCCACCCAGAGCATCCTACTCCCCCGAGGTCACGGCTGTGAAGTCTGTAAGGCTCTGGGCCCCAGAAACTGACCTCTTCATACTTGCGGTCAGCATCTTCAGCAATGTGCTTGGCCTCTTTCAGCTGGATCTCCTGAATTTCCATCTTTTCTTCATCTTTTTGGGCTCGGCTTTCAATGACTTTCATGCCTCTGGAAAGACAGACAAGCAGGAAGACCCGAGATGGAGAGATGACTACTGCTGCTACTGTGGGGTATGAGTCTCCATGCATACAGCCGACCAAAATTGAACAGAGAGCCATTTATTTTCCAAAGCATGGAGCAAAACTTTCAGAAAAAAACACATTTCTCTCTGGTCACTGTGAATGAGATCTTTGGGTGCACTTTGAATACTGGTGGAACTTCTAAGACACCTAATCTTAAGTGGAAGGTGCTATATCAGGTTCCTATTTGAATCTGGGAAGCACGAAAACAAAGGAAGCTACCATGCTTTATTTGTTAAACGTAGAGATTTTCTCCTTTTTCCTGAGGGAAAGGCTCGGATTAAAAATGGGTGAATCCAGGTGTGATGGTGCATCTTTAATTCCTGCATTTAGGAGGCAGAGGCAGGTGGATCTCTGAGTTAGAGGCCACCCTCGCCTATACAGAGAGTTCTAGGATAGCCAGGGATACACAGAGAAACCCTGTCTAGGGTGAGAAAGAAAGAAGGAAGAAAATATTGGCAAAGAAAGAAAATAAATAGGTGTTGGGAGGCAAATCTGACACTGAATGTTATAGCATGGTGTTATAGTTCAGAAAATGTTAACTGACCTAGATTTTACACATTTATGGCACACCTTTGAGGGGATTTCTAGACCGGGCTAGAGGGGGCGGGGCACTCCAACTGTGGGCAGCACCATTCCACAGGCAAGAGTCCCTGACTAAATAAGCAGGAAGCTAGTCAAGCACTAGCATTCATTGCTATCTGCTTCCAGACCATAACTTGCCCACCAGGATGGGCTCTGTGTCTCTTTGAACTACGAGCCAAAATAAACCCTTCCTTTTTAAAAGTTGCTTCTTGTCGGGTGTTCCATCACACCAATAAGAAGGAAATTAATAAAGCTGGCCTGTGCGAACCATGGTTCCCTTTACTATGACAAGGCTGGGTGTTTACATATAGGTCAGGTTACAGTAGAAATAGGTGCAAAACAGGAGCACCTGACTGTGTCTGTGTGTACATGTGTATTAAATCCAAAACATTCCACCTATGCAGAGCATATAGATCACATCTGTTTTTTTTTAAACACTTGTGAGTCACCATGTGGTTGCTGGTAATTGAACTCAGGACCTACAGAAGAGCAACTAGTGCTCTTAACCTCTGAGCCATCTCTCCAGCCCAATCATATCTGTTTTATCTATGCTTTCCCATCTACCTG